CCTACTTGGTGAGGAGCAGAACTACGACTGTGTAGTTTATTAGGCTCCCAGGTGACTTTAATTTTTTTTTTTTTTTTTTTTTTTTTTTTTTTTTTTTTTTTTTTTTTTTTTTTTTTTTTTTTTTTTTTTTTTTTTTTTGCCACTTTCTGTGAATCTATAATTATCTAAAAAAAAAAAAAAAATACGCACGGAGAGATACCGAGTTTGCCCCAGTGGGAACCTCTTGCATAACCAAAGTACAACAGCAAAATCGGGAATTTGACATCGGTACAATCCACAATGCTTATTCAGATTTTATAAGGTTTACGTGCATTCGCGTTCATGTACGTGCGCGTGTAGAATTCTATGCAATTTTATCACATGTGTAATTACTACTGCCGCCAAGACAGAGAACTGTCCATCGCCACAAGACTCTCTAATGCTTCCCTTTATAGCCACACCAGCCCATCATAACCGTCTTCCTAATCTCTGGCAACCACTAATCTCTTCTCCGTCTCTCTAATTTTGTCATTTCAAAATGTTAGATAAATGCAATCATATGAAATCTTTTGCTCAAAAAAAGGGGCAGAGATTATAGAATGTTTAGGAAAATAAACTTCTAATATTAAAAAAAATAAAAACTTTCTAGATTGGCTTTTCCCCCCCCTCACATAGCTCCCTTGAGATCCAACCAAATCACTGCATATATCAATAGTTTTGGGGGGGGGGTGCGTTTACTGCTGCATAGTAATAGATGTATCACTGTTTGTATAGATGTATCACTGTTTATTTTAACCATTCAGCTGTTGAAGAACATTTGAGTTGTTTTTGGTTTCTGTCTATTATAAATAAATCTCCTATGAATATTCAGGTGTATGTTTTTGTGTGAACATAAGTTTTCATTTCTCTGGAATAAATATGTCCAAGAGTGCCATGGCTGGGTCATATAGTAAGTGCAGGTTTAGTTTTATAAGAAACTACCAAACTATTTTCCAAACCATTTACATCATATCACCGATGTATAAATGATCCAATTTCTCCACATGCTCATCAGTATTTGATGTTATTATTTTGTATATTTATCATTCCGACAGATGTGTAGTGATATTTCATTGTGGTTTATATTGCATTTCCCTAGTGGCTAATGATGTTGAACATTTTTTCAAGTGCTTACTTGGCATCTGTATATCCTCTTTGGTGAAATATCTGTTCATGTCTTTTGCCCATTTTTTATGAAATGATTTGTTTTTTAACTATTGGGTTTTGATAATTCTTCACATATTCTAGATGCAAGTTATTTGTCAGATATATGGTTTGCAAATATTTTCTCCCAATCTTTAGATTGTTTTTTTCATCTTAATAAGATCTTTCAGAGGAAAAAAAAATGGGGTGCGGGGAAAAGTCCAATTTGCTGATTTTTTTTTTGTCTTTTATAGATTGTACTTTAAGTGTCAAGTCTAAGAACTCTTTGCTTAGTCCTAGTTCCCAAAGATTTTCTCCAACTTTTTCCTAGAAGTTTTATGTTTTACATTTAAGTTTGTGATCCATTTGAGTTAATTTTTGTATAAGGTATGAGGTCTTTTTTGCCAACAGATGGCCAGTTGCCCAAGCCCCCCTTGTTGAAAGGCTATCCTTCCTCCATTGAATTGCTTTTGTATCTTTGTCAAAAATCGGTTCAGGATATTTGCATGGGTCTATTTCTGGGTTCTCTACGCTGTTCCGTTTCTCTGCGTGTCTGTTTCTCTGCCAATACCACACAGTCTTGACTACTGTAGCCAACTCTTGGAATCTGGTAGATTGATTCCTCCCACCTCATTCTCTTTTTTCAAAACTGACTTAGTTAAGTCCTTTGCCTTTCCATACAAATTTTAAAATAAACTTGTCTACACCTACTATGACATTCTTACTGTGATTTTGATAGGAACTGCATTAAACTTATGGATCAGTTTGAGAGAACTGACATCTTTACAGTGTGGGGGCTTCCAAACCATGAAGATAACACATTCCTCCATTTATTTGAGTCTTCTTTGATTTCTTTCATCTGCATTGTAAATACCATTGTTTTAATTTTGGTCTCCACAGGTTCATTATTAGTATATAGAAATGCTACTGATTGTTGATCTTGAATCCTGTAACCTCACTGAATTCATTAGGATTTTTTTTTTTTTTAAATTCCTTAGAATTTCTTATGTAGACAATCATGTCATCTGACAGTAGGGACAATTTCATTAATTTCTTTCAATTCTATGTGCTTTTTATTTATTTTTCTTGCTTTGTTATTGCACCTGCTAGAGGTCCCAGTCCTATGATGAATAAAAATAGTGAGAGTGGACATCCTTGCCTGGTCCCAATCCCAGGAGAGTGTTCAGCCTCTCACCACTGAGTGTGGTGTTAGCTGGTTTTTGTAGGTTTCTTGCAGATCTTTTTTATAAAGTTGAGGGAGTTCCCTCTATTGCTGAGAATTTTTATCATGATTGAGTGTTGGATGTTGCCAAATGCTTTTTCTACATCAACTGAATGATCACATAACTTTTCTTTTTTATGCAATTTATATAGTGAATTATATGGATTGATTTTAAAAATATTGAACCAGCATGTATACCCAGAATAAATACCACTTGGTTGTTATATATTTCTTTTTATACACTGCAGGATTTAATTTGTTGGTATCCTGTTGAAGACTTTTGTGTCTAAGTTCATGAGGGATGTTGGTCTATGGTTTTCTTTTTTTGTACTTTTTCTGGTTTTGGCATCAGGGTAATATTGGCCTCAAAAATTGAGTTGGGAAATGTTCCTTCCTCTTTTATTTTCTGGAATACACTGTGTAAAATTAATTCTTCTTTAAATGTTTGGTAGACTTCTCCACTAAAACTGTCTTTTTCAGGAAATTTCAAATTATGGATTCAATTTTATGGTCATAAAATTATTCAGATTGCTTATTTCATCTTGGCTGAATTTTAGTAGTTTGTGGTTCTCAAGGAATTGGTCCATTTCTCCTAAGTTGTCAAATTTATTAGTGTGAAGTTGTCTATAGTCGTTCGAAGTATATTTTCAACAGATAGAGGACTTATAATTGACAGTTCTCATCTTTCAGCATTTGAAAAATGGGCCAGTTCCTTTTGGCCTCCATGAGAAATCTGTTGTCCTTTGGATTGGTGTTCTCTATAGGTAATACATCATTTCTCTCTGGCTGCTTTCAAGATTTTTTTTTTTTCTGTTTTGGTTTTCAGAAGTTTAACTATGATATATGTTGGCATGAATTTCTTTGGGTTCCTCCTATAGGAGGTTTTCTCAGCTTCTTGAATCTGTAATTTTATGTCTTTTGCCAAACTGGAGAATTTTCAGCCATTATTTTCTCAAACTCAGGTGACTTTTGAGCACATTTTACGTTTGAGAAGCCTTGCTCTACAGTGGGCTTTTAGGGGTCCAAGAACCCCTCACATTGTATACAAAATGCTGTAAATGTCCATTTTTCTGAGGAGAATGTCTACAGTTTTCACTAGATTCTCAAATGATTCCATAACACTCACCATAAATTTTATAAAAGGATTGGTTTATGGCGTTATTGGGTTATTTTTGGCCTCCTTGGTTAAAACCAATAAAAACTAGTTAAAACCAATAAAAACTAGTTAGTACCCTTTCTTCCTTTTCACCGCATCTGTCAAACTCCTGTGTCCCAAGGGTTCCCTCAACAGTTTTGGAAAATATGGTCACTCAGGTGAATATTTTCTGAGCGCCTAAAATGTGCTAATTTATTTTTTTTTCCATTTTTCCCCTAGTAAGTGAGAAAGGGTAGAGTTAAAAAAATTAAAGCCATATTTAGCTTATGAAAAGTTCTGAGTAAATAAGAATTCAGAGTAAATTTTGCTGCTGTCACATCTTATGACTTTACCCTTTAAAATCTATCCCTTACTACTCTTAGCTGGATATGCCAGCGATCAAATTATATCCCGAAAGCACAATTTCATTGACTGAAAACACGGCTTTATGCAGGAGGCCCACTAGTCATGACTCTGGTTTGCTTACACAGTTGGTAGCTGAGCTCGCATTCCCATAAGCAGGCTTGTCCCTGGAGAGCTGCACAAGCTGACTGCTCTGCCTGCTACACCCTCACCTCCCCCGCTTTGCCACCCACCTTCTTGGACTAACTCCTGCTTATCTTTCAGAACTCAGTTTGAGAAACCCACCTCTGAGAAGCCTTTTCCCAGTTCTCCAAGCACTGAGTTGGGTGTGCCTCCAACGTTACCCATGCTTGCTGGATGTCACACTGTGTTGATTGCCTGTTATTCCCACAAGATTGTGAGGCCCTTGAAGGCCATGACTGGGTCTTGGTTGCTTTTGCCCACTGGTACTTTAAGAAACAAATATAACAAGACATGTACTTAAGCCCTGTCTCCAGTTAGACTTCACTAGCGCTGGCTGATCTCTTCCTCCGTGATTTCTTCATTAATGTCTTAAGTATCTGTTGAGCTTCTTCATATACCGGGGTGGCAACCAGATGTTCAGCCCCTCCCCAGCAGCCTTAGTCCTTCTTGAATTCTCATAAATGTTTATTAATTCACTTCGGACTTTTCCCAAGAATCAATATATTAAAGTTATTCGTCTTCCCCCTCTCCCCCACCCCAGAATGTCTATCTCCCCGCATTTGGATGATATGAACAACACTGCCATCCTCCTTCCCGGTCTTACTACTGGATCTTAGGAATTCCTCATTATTGTGTTTACATTTACAGATCCTATCAGGCTATGAGCTCCTCAGGGATAGGGACTCTCTGTCTTATTCATCTCAGAATCTCCAGGGACTGGGACAAGGTGGGTCCCATAAATGTCTGCGGAATGCAGTTTGATGTTAGATCATCACAGCTGCACTGGTCCTCGTAATCAGCACACACGTCTACTCATCTTCCCGCCTTATCTTTACTTCCTACTTATCCTTCATTCTAAGCCACTGTGAGTTCTTTCTGGAAAGGAGAAATGGATAAATACGATACGTTTTAAAGTAATTCTTTTATTCCTCCCAGGTACTATCTTGGCCGTCGGATGTTTATCGTTATCTCCAAACCGGACATGATCAAGCAGGTGTTGGTCGAGAACTTCAGTAACTTTACCAACAGAATGGTATGTAGTTTTCTCTTTGCAGACGGGTGGATGGGGAATCATTCTCAGATGCAAGGACTGCACGTCACACCTAATAGGGACGTGATCAGGCCTCTTATGGCTTTAGATCAGTTCAACTCAAAATTGAGCTCTCCCATGAATTTAGGTCTTCAAAAGAGATGTGCAGGACTGGCACAAAAGAATATCATTTACATTTAAGAGATGCTTTAAGAAAGCTAAAGCTCAAGAGAAGTTGTGGTTAATAAAAATGCTAAAACCGGGAGAGTTTTTTAAAGCTGTGTTCAAAGCTAGAGGAATCCAGGGGGCACAGGTCAAGTGACTGAGGAAGACCGAGCAAGGCTAATAAATACCAGAGGGAAAGCAAAATTTTGAGCCTCTTGTGCTTACCTCTTTCACAGAGAGTATAAAAGCCTTAAGGCCGGAAAGGAAAGACAAGCAACATTGCGAGGGAAATTCGTCCCCAAGTAGCAGGAGAAGCCAGTAAGAGGGCTGTGACATGTCAATTCGAGCCTCTAATCCACTAAAGGATGCACATACTCCATCTTTTTTAGAGAGTATATATCCTACTTTTTATCTTTGATGAGGAATCCCAAAGAATGTAAAAGGTATAAGAAAATGGCAGAGGTCAGTGTTGTCTATATTTTCTAAAAAGGGGGAGATAGGAATTCCAGCAGAGAAGACTAAACATCTTTAGGTTGATTCCTAAAAAGAGTCTAAAGTCAATTAATAAATGCTTGCTTGTGAGAATTAAGAGAATCACTATGTGCCAACCTTTTTTTGTCAAATTAAACTCATCTTTCATTCTTATAGGAAGCGTAGGTAATGCAGTCACTGTTTTGTTGGTTATCTGGCAAACTTTTGCCATATGCCGTATGCTAGGCATGGTCTAGGTGCAGATTATAAGGAGATAGAAGACTCAGTCTTGTCCTCAAGGAGCTCACAGTCTAGTGACAGGCAGATAGGCAAAGAGGCCGGTACAACATGGTAGGGTGAGTGTCACTGCAGTGGAAAACACTCCGCCACCTAGAATGGGACAGGAGAAGGCTTATCAATGGGAGATCTCTGGGGCGAGTCTTAAAGAAATCAGACCTGCCCCACCCTACATTCTGTACTGGTTGAGGCACCAGAGTGGTTTTTTCTCATTAACCTTCATGAGAACTTATGACACTGACACAGTTATCACCTCTATGTTACAGACAAGGAAACAGAGACTCAGAAGGGTTAGGTGATAACTCTCACCATGTGACTCACAGGAAGAGCAGGGATTCACGTGCCATGTCACAACTCAAGTCCAGGGCTCTTTTTACTGCCACTACCATTACGGCTGCCTCAGGTGACATTTCTGGACTGTCAAGGTTTCATGAGGTAGTTAGCTGCTCATTTTCCAGCCCCAGAGCATCCTGCCCAATTCCGGACACCACATGTCCACTGGAAGGAGGTGATGTGGAGGGATGGCCGAAGGAATTGCAGGAGTCTAACTACTCTGCTGCCTCTAGATTCTCTTCCCCAAACATTATGTTGTTATTCCCCTGTTCAGTCTCCTGAAGGTCTTCTATGACCTCAGGCTCATAGAGACTGAGTCTGATGGTCCAATAAGGCTGTGGATAGTCATTGTGCCAGGCTCGGCAAAGAGTGTTGATTAAAGATGTGGCGGAAACTGGCAAGTCAAAGGGCCTGGACCACCAAGCCGTGCCCAGCAGACAGCAGAGGCGCCCTGAGAGCCTGTCGCAGTTCTTGCGAACCCTTAGCAGTGAGATGGGGTGTGGCAGCCATGTGTCTCCATATTGCTTCATGTGACACCCAGATGTCACCAGGGTACAAGACCCCGAGAACAGACTTGGAAGAGGGCCACCCTCTAAGTGATACACTAGGGGCAGACATACACTCGACACACACATTCAAGCAGAAGGCACCAATAAAGTTGCCCATCTCTCCTCTAAATCATTTATCCGTCTATCCTCCCTAATGCTTTCCATCCCCAGACTCAGGTCTCTAGGCCCCAAATGCAGAATATGGTTCTAATTTCCTTCTTGCACTCAGCACAGTGCCCTCGAGAGAAAGTTCAAGGTCCCGCGATGAGATTTAAGCGTCTCTGTAATTTGGACGCATTTCATATGTTCCGATCTCACCCCTCACTGCTCCCCAATACAAGCCTCTCCATCCTTTCCGTAACCTGCTCTGGAAAGCCCTGCCCCAGTGCCTTTGCTCATGCTGACACTCGCACTAGAATGGGAGGCAGGATAACAGAGGGTCTTGCATTGATTAATAACCTGAGCGTGAGCAAATTACTTCTTTATGCTTCTCATCGCTCCTTTGGAAAATGGGGATATGATCTACCTTACTGGGCTGCTGTAGGCTAAATGAGATCACACATATAAACCCTGCCTTACACCCAGGCCAGACGAACACTCAATGTGTATTAGGTGCTATTAACAAGAAGACCGTCCACCTTTTCTGCACCCATTCAAACCCTAGTAATCTTCAAGGCTCTCCTCAAACTCTGCCTCCCCCGTGAAGCCTTCCCTACCTCAATCCACATTTACTTTTCCCTCTCTCTGAATCCTTACAACACTTATCATCCCAGAAGAACTAGGCGTTACCTGAACCTGGAGAGTGAATATACCCTTCCTCTTCTAGATCATTCATAAACATTCGGAAAGATCCATCAAAGATTAGATCTCTAGGAAACCCCAATGTTTATAATTTTCCATCTGGGAATGCATCCACTTATCTTTAGCTTTGTTTACAGTCTTTAAGCCAGTTCCATATTGATGATAAAACAACCCTTAGTGACTCAATTTTTTTAAAAATCGTCTTTAGAGTGGGATTTTCTCACAGGTTTTTGAAAGTCAAATTAAATCGGGTTCTGTGGCTCCCTCTTATCCATATGCTTATTTATCTGCTCAAAGAACTCAAGGAGATTAGTGAGGCATGATTTCTCCTTACCAACATCATGCTGCCTTTCTCTAATAAGCCATGTTTACTTAAGTGTTCAGCAATTCAGCTTTATTATACATTCATTCAGTAAACATTAAACGCTTACTCCATACGAGCTTCTACCAAATGGTCCCTTGCGATCCAGACAATACCTCGGCATATTAGGTTGATACATTAAGTGAAAAGGAACTTAAATAACACATGGCTTCATTTTCTTCCGACTGTAAGAGCCCATCTCCACTCACAAATCCAGGCTTGACATACGTGTGCCCCTGACGGGCAGGTGCCAAGTGGCCGCGATGTGGCAGCTGGGTTTAGCGCTGACATGCGATGTGAGCTGTCAGGACCATGAGGGTGTGACAGAGCGTACCAGCTGGAGGTGGGGTGCACCATGGGGGAATTCCCTGACGTACGTCAGTATCGAGCAAATGCTTGAGTTCGAAAGTTGTTGAATGGAATTATTATTTTTTTTAAAGTTCAGAACACCGGGCCCAACAGACCGTGGCTCAGACCCAGGGTGGCGGTTCCCGTAACGTGCTTCCCCACGCACATTGTTCGGGACACTCGGGTCTGCGTGACGCCTTGGCCCTGTCTCGCCCACTTTCCACACGGACGGCTCGGGCCTCTATCAGCGCACTCAGCACTTCCTGAAGTTGCTTCGTGGTGGTGCAACCACAGTTTACCGTTAAACCCCAATCAATCTTCTTAGCATTTATAGGATCTCAGTTGTCCCGGCACCTTGAGACTTGGTTATTTTTTTATTTAGATACTTTTTTAATTAGCTCCTCTTTGCTAGCGGGTACTCAATGAAGCCATGAAGGCAGCTCTTTAATATCTGCAGAAACCGGAGCTGGGTCCACATGACTCAACAGAAATGGTCATGACCAGCCAGAGAACCTCTATTCTCGGCCTCTCCTCAAGGCCTGGAGCTGGGGAAGCAGTGGAAGAGAGACGGATATAGGGCGGTCTGTGGCCCACGTCAGGTTGGTCTACTTGGAAGGGGGCGCAGTGGGGATACGCTCCATCACTCAATCTGCTGCTGGGAACTCTGAGTTCTGGTCCCGAATGACAGTACGGAGCGTGGGTCGGGCTGCAAGCATGCCAGCTCCCAGGTTCTGCCGGTAGCAGTCGCCTGTGTGCAGGTGTGGGTACCAGCCCTCCGGTCCTCACAGGCACCACGGGGGTCACCTCTCCTGGCACAGGTCCAGTCACATCCTTGACTCACTAGCGACACATCTAAAGCCGTGGGATGGATTTGTGAGTGGTTTTATCCAGAACCATAAGAGCCCAGGGGCCTGGCTGGCCCAGGTGCAGCCTCCCCGAGGGCCGTTTCCCACCACTCACCACATGGACGTTAGAAGCACAGGACGAGTTCCTGTGAAACCGCAAAGCCCTCGGCACAGGCAAGCATTACTAAAGTTCCGAGGCAAATTAGTCGCTGGAAACCTTATTACGTCTGCATCTGCGGCCGTACCCCATTACAGAGAAATGTGTGGGCTCGTAACAGAGTTCACCGGCAAGGAAAACCATTCAGAGCTCCAGGTGGATAAAGCCACCCGTGCTGGAGCCGCAGGGACCTGGGACCTGTCTGCTGGCATCTCTGAGGAGGGAGGGAGCCTCAGCGGGCTTGTCGTACAACTGCCCCCCTACACCTGCAACTGGCACCTGTCCACTGACAGCGTTTGAAAACTTGCTCATCTAGAGCTTCTGATCTCCTGTACCATAAATGAGACGCTGAGTAAATTAAAACATTCAGGTTTTCAAACCTGAGCAGTGAGATTTTATGGTGTGAGAATGGTTTTTGGACATGACTTCGAGGAAAAGCTCTCATCGCCCCAAACATTGAATACTATTTTGAGCTTTGCGTATCTTGAGAAGGGTCAACTCACATGATAGGTCCACAGCTCTGAGCGAGGCAGACCTTCATACTTAAAACCCAGACAGACTGCAGAGACCCAGAAACAGGTGTGCAACCTCATTTGCCTGACCCCCTGCTATTTTGAGGCAGGTCTCTGCTATGCACAGGAAACCCTCAAGCCTGTGTCAGATGCCTGTCATCCTGG